GTTTTCCCAGAAAAACAAAAGTTAAAGGAATTCATGACCAGGAGCAAAACCAGCCATGTCCCCATCACACAAATTGCCACAGGCCTGTGGATCCCAAATCCACAGTCCAGCCACCCTCCTGCCTGAGTCAGCATGTACTGCTTGCCACCTGCTCAATGCCAAGTCAATACACCTTCACCTCAGACTGACAAGGACTCAAACTGACCCTCTTCCCCTCAAATTCCAGCCAGTGTACTCAAGTTTATGCACAAAAGTGGGTATAATTATAACAGCAGAATAAAGCAACTCAAATAGTCACACTAATTCTGTAGACTCTACAATGGATAAAAGGAGTGTGCTAGGCTGGAACATTAACAAACACATCAAAGAACAATACATACAACATGATTCTGGTTAATTAAAGAAACAAACCCAGAAAAAATAAAACAAGATGAAATCAGAAAGGGAGACAAACCATAAGGGACTCTTGATCATAGGAAACAAACTGAGGGTTGCTGGAGTGGAAACAAACTAGGGTGGGGGGATGGGGTAACTGAGTAATGAGCATTAAGGAGGGCGCATGATATAATGAGCACTGGGTGTCATATAAGACTGATAAATCACTGAACTCCACCTCTGAAAATAATAATACACTATATGTTAATTAATTTGATTTAAATTTAAAAAAAGAACCCCCCCAAAAATAAAATAAATAAAATAAAATCTCAATGGCTCAAAACAACAGTTTATTTATCACTCATGTAAGGTCCCCTGAAGGTCAGGGCTAATTTCTAGGACAGCTGTCCCTCATGCAATGACTCAGCTTTACTTCTTCAGATAAACACATAAACATCAATATTGGAAAGGGGCAAGAATGTGGGAAATCACATCTTAGCTCTTAAAGGTTTTCCTCTGGAAGTGACATGTTTTGGTTTTCATTGGCAAAACCAATCACATGGCATTGTCATTTGTAAATATATCTACAAAGTCATTGACATTGTTACCTCCAAAAGGTGGAATCTAATTCCCCTTCCCTTGCAAGTGACTAGACTAGTTGCCTCAGTGCTCACACAGGGAATGTTTCAGCGGTTGTCCTGTGTGACTTTCAAGGCTAGGTGTCTTACTCTGTTCAGGCTGCTAGAACTAGATAGCACAGGCTGGGAGGCTTCTGAACAACATAAATTTACTGCTCAAAGATCTGGAGGCTGCAAATCTGAAATCAGGATGCCAGCATGGTTGGGTGAGCACCCTCTTCTAGGTCACAGTCTTTATGTGGTGCCTTCATATGACAGAAGTGGCAAGGGAGCTCCCTAGGGTCTCCTTTATAAGGGTTAATCCCATTCATGAAGGCTTCATCCTCATGACCTAAGCACCTGCCAAGGCCCCACCTCCACATACCGCACATTGGGGATTAGTTTTAAACATAGGAATTTTAAGGAGACACAAACATTCAGTCAATAGTACAAATGATTGAGCAATATTTCTGAATTTTAAAAAACATTAATGCAGCATAAACTATAGTTATAATGACACCACTAGGCTCAATCTCATTGAAATATGCCAGACTCAATTGCCTAAAAATGGTCCTGTAACCATACATGTATATATGCAGAAATGGGGGTGCCTGGGTGGCTCAGTCATTAAGTGTATGCCTTTGACTCAGGTCATAATCCCAGCATCCTGGGATCGAGCCCTGCATCAGGCTCCCTGCTCAGTGGGAAGCCTACTTCTCCCTCTTCCACTTCCCCTGCTTGTGTTCCCATTCTCACTGTGTCTCTCTCTCTGTCAAATAAATAAATAAAATCTTTATATACAGAAATATAAATTTCTCTACACACACATACACTTACCCTTCCATACTGTGTATATGTCATAGAAATGTCTATCACTCTTTTTTCCTGTTGCTAAAAAACACATAACATAAAGTTACCATCTGAGCCATTTTTAAGTGTACAGTTTGCAAACATCAAGTATATTCACATTTCTGTAAAACAGATCTCCAGAATTTTATCATCTGAAAAAAAGTTCATTTCAAAATTTATACCCATTAAACAACAACTCCCATTTTCCTTCCCCCTCTTCCCAGTCCCAGCACCCCCCCCCGACTAATCACCACTTTATTCTCTGTTTCTATGAATTTGACTACTTTAGATACGTCATATTAGGTAGAATCAAACAGCATTTGTCTTTTTGTGACTGGCTTATTTCTCTTAGCACAATGTCTTCAAGGTTTATTCATGTTGTAGTGTTGATGGGATTTCCTTTTTTTGAAGGCTGAATGATATTCCAACATATGTATAGATTACTTTTTTTTTTTTACCCATTCATCCATTAACGGGCATTTGGATTGCTCCCACCTCTTAGCTATTGTGAATAGTGCTATGTCCATGACCATGAAAACATCTCTTCTAGACTCTACTTTCAAAAGTATGGGATCCAGTGGAATTGCTGGGTCAATCCAGTGGTTCCATTTTTAATTTTTTTTTTGAAGAAACTTCAATCTGTCTTCTATTATGGTTGCACCATTTAACAATCACCAACAGTGCCCAAGGATTCCAATGTCTCTACACCCTTTTGAACATTTGTCATTTTCTGTGTTTTTTGATAGTAGCCATCCAAATGGGCGTGAAGTGGGATTTTTTTGTGGTTTGGATCAACATTTTGGACATTTTTTTTAAAGATTTATTTATTATTTGACAGAGAGAGATCACAAGTAGGCAGAGAGTCAGGCAGAGAAAGAGGGGGAAGCAGGCTCCCTGCCGAGCAGGAAGCCTGATTCAGGGCTCAATTCCAGGACCCTGAGATTATGACCTGAGCTGAAGGCAGAGGCTTAACCCACTGAGCCACCCAGGTGCCCCGGTCATTCTTAAATAATAAAAAGTCCTTTGGTCTTTTTGAGGTCCAAAAAACAATCTCATTTTAGCAAATGTGGTAGGCAAAGTAACATCCACTACTACCACGAAGATGCCATAATCCTTGGAACCTGTGGATGTGTTTTGCTACATTTCAAGGGGGAGTTAAGGTTTCTAGTCAGCTTCCCTCAAGCCCCCAGGTGGCCTGTGACTCCTGCAGGGTCAGCAGAGGTAGAAGCTGAAAGAAGATATAAGGGGCAGAAGAGATCATCCTTACCAAAGGCAGATATAGGACGATGCTTGCATCTTCTGAGTGGGACAGTCTCCCAGCAATAATTGTTTCTCTTCAACAGTGCTTTGTGGAGCTCTCAATCAAAGTTACTGCTTCTGGGCCCTTGGGCAATCCTTGTCTCTGGCCAGGTGCTCCTTATCCCATCTTCACCCTCTGAGCCAGTGGTACCTTCCAGCCTCTTTTGGCTGATGGCCTCTGTCCTTTGGCAAGAAGCCTTTAAAGACAAGACTTTTCCAACAACCCCAAGGTCAGATCATTCCACCATTCCTCTTGGCTCATAAGAACACTCTGGCATCCTTTCCCCTCTTCCATCAGGGATAAATGTGTGGTTTTCTCCCCATTGCTTATGTATCTTTGCTTGGACATCAGCAGGGCAGTTCAAACCATAGCCCTTGATCTTTTCAGGGGAAAAAAATGTGTTTAAAATTCATTAATATGGCTGATTTTATAATCTTGAGCGTCTTCTGAACAATGGCCTGGATTCTTTCAACATTTTCTTATGATGAACATTATGAACCACTTCTCTGTTCTTGCTTTTAGGGACTTTGCCTAAGTCCATTCTTAGTTAGCCAATATATGTTTATATAGTATATCTATGGATAAGTCAGAAATAGTTTCACACAGTAATAATATGGTTGCTGTTATGGTAAAATACAATGTTGGTAAGAACTTAGGAATCTTGAAATAATTTACATTTTTTCCTTAAGTAATATATTTTCAGAGCTATTTGCAAAGTGTGTATTCTCTGAACATGTCCCCCAAACCTATACCCTTTCTGACTTTAAATTCAATATCATTGCCTATCTCTATAGACAAAAGAAACACCTTACAAGAACCCTCAACAAATTTCAAGTGACTTTAGCCACCACTTCCTCTCTTCCTTGCACATCTTGTCCAAGTTTAAAGTTCTCTAACGAGTACAAAGGATTTATACATCATGAGAAAGATTATTGTTAATGTCATTTATAATAGACTCTTAAATACAGAGAACAAACCAGAGGGAGGTTGGTAGGGGGAATGAGTGAAACAGGTGAAGGGGATTAAAAGGTACAAACTTCCATTTATAAAATAAATAAGACACAGAGATGAAAAGTACAGCATAAGGAATATAGTCAACAATATTTTAATATTGTTATATAGTGACAGATGGTAACTATACTTATCATGGTGAGCATTGAGTAATGCATAAAATTGTCAAGTCACTGTACTATACACTTAAAAATAATATGACATTGTATGTTAATTATGCTTCAGTAAAAAAATTTAACACCTCACCCCAAAAAAGGGGGAAAAAAGGAAAGCTTTAAGGATAAATTAAATTGTGTATTTTAGACCTAGGGCTTATAATTGAGTTAATTTGGTAAATTTTTTGAGTTTTTATTCTACTCTTGGCACTCAGATTATTTTATATTTCAATAAAAACAAAGAGACAGCTTGGGTTTTGTGAGGAGGGAATTTGTGAAAAGGGCATGTCTTACTGACCAGTGAGTCCATTACATCATTTGTACACCTGCTATCTACAGGCACTGTGTCAAGTGCCAGGACACAATGGTAATCAACCCTGGCAGTCTTTCTGGCCTTGGAGAGATTTGCATATTGCAAAAGAGAAGGTCATGCTTTGAAGTCTCAGAGTTGAGGATGGAGGAAGAGAGAAGACACACTGAACACCCATAGAAGAGGCAAGAAGGACTTGAAGCCAAAATGGAGTCTAGACATGATATGGAAGGCACTAGAATCTGAAAATAAGTGGGGGTCTAAGGGTGGGAAAGTGTAATCAAAGCAATGGGTGAAAAGAGGCTCTTTTCCACAAGACAGGTGTCTACGCCCAAAGCAAAGTGGAAAACTGAAGACCAAATTTCCTAAGAAATTTCTTAGGAAATTTGGTCTCGCTCTCAATGAACACCTTTGGCCAAGTCATATAAATGGAAAATGTGAAAGGGAAGTTCCTGTCCTCCTAAGCTCCTGTACAGCCTTTCTAAGCCTCAGTTTTTCTCATTTCTAAATCAGGAATAATAATACCTATATTATATACCTGTTGTGAGGATTTGATTTTATGTATATAAAATGGCCTGCATAGTGTCAGGAGCATGATAGCTGTGAATGTGTTGAGCAACTATTTTGCTTCTGTTGTTAACACCTATAAATAAAACTAAATGTCATAATGGTGGATCCCATGGATTGGCTCTTTCAATCCTCATTTCACCCTCACTTTGGGATAACTTCCTGTTCCTGTGAAACTAGGAACTATATTTCCCAGACTTCTTTGCTTATAGGGTCTTAATGCCAGATAGGTTCCACCAGTTAGAGGCAATCACTTGAGATTTGAAAGATGAAAGGAAGTGGAGGCCATCTTCCAGTTGCTCTTTCTTTCGCAAATTTACTACATTAAGAGGGGCCTGAGGCATGGGCAGCAATGATGGAAACAGCTGCTAGACCACCAGATCCCTGTGGGATTTTGACACCAACAAGTGGTGGCTCCTGATTTCCACTCCTCCAGCCCTGCTGGTGTCTTTGTAAGTATCTAAGTCCCATATTAAATCCCATGTGTCTAAAGTACCTAGAGTAATGATTCCTGTTTCTAGAACTGAATCCTGACTTACTTAGAAGTGGATGTTTCATCTAAAGAAATCTCATACGTAAACTCCCATGAAGGACTTTATTTTGTACTACTGCTTCAAAATGGCTTAGATTTAAATCATGAGTTAATTCCCATGTTTAAACCAATTCAATGTTCTTCTTAATGCCATTTTCTTTGAGAACTGTTAACAAAATACAATTAAAGTGTTCTGGGACTTTGAAAAGTTAACTCCAAGTACCACATTGAAAGAGGCAGAGTATATTTTTTAATTATAACCCAGCCATTGTCTTTCTTTATACTTTCTTTGGTTGAGAGGAAAATGGTCCCTGAAATAACCTTGCCTCCTCATAACAGTTCTTTCTTCCTTTCTTAGTATCAAGAACCCCAATTTTTAGCTAGGGACACTACTACCCAGCTAAAATTTATTCCCACTCTCCCTTAAAGCCACACATAACCATATGACTAAGTTTTGGTCAGTTAAATATAAGAAAAAGTGTTTTGTGTAATTTCTAAAAAGAGTCTTTAGAAGGAGGGTATAAGCCCTCCTTTGCCCCTTCCTCCTTTCTGTTGGCTGGAGTATGAATGTGATGACAGGAGCATTAACAGCCATCTTGGGTCATGAGGCAGTATAGTAATCATGGCAGAATAGAAGAGAATGAACCCGTTGCCTACAAAGCTGCTGTATAGGACTGGATTGTTTACGTCCAGATTCCTTTTACATCAGAAACAAACAAATGAACAATCTCAAACCTTAAAAAAGTCATTGTTATTTTGTTTCTGTTTTGTTATTACATGTAGCCAAGCCTATGCCTAATTAATAATAAAGGAACAGCCAAACTTCTTCTCTTCCTATCAACCATGGACGGTTTCTCAGTTTTTAAAAATTAGTGCATTCTCAAAAACTGCCTCCTTACTGAGATGCAGTAGGACATGCTGCCAAAAATGTTGATCTGGGTTTAAAATTAAAGACATAGAGTGATTTCACAGAGGCCAATTCCATGTACACAGCAGCAAAATTTGCAAGCCAGATGAATAACTCTGACTTACTCATATGGTTGAGTAAAGGTAAGTCCTCAAGCATAGCTAATGATCCATTAGGGCTAGAGTTATTGATTCAGTGTGGCTGAATTTCAGGTTAAACTGTCTCTCTGTTGGTCATCATGTGACCACACCACAACTGACAGCACATCCAACGGTACAATCTGCTTTGCAGCTCTTTATTCCAGAGCCCATAGATCAGAGGGTTAAGACATTGGGCAAATGCAAAGACTCCAAAAAGCACCAAATTTAAAACAAAGAAAAACAACCCACACATCTTTCCCAAACCTATGAATATCAGGGTTGGTATCACATGTAAACCCATCTGCACTAAATGAATAAGGACCGTTTTCCTTGCTTTGATATTTGATCTATTAAAATGGCCAGCCCGTTTCCCTTCTTGGTAGATCAGAAAGTAACTTACAAGAATGATGGACAGAAGAAGGAAAAGGAAAACCATGCCAATGGCTCTGGCAGCAGAGCCATTCAAGATCACAGGGCAAAGGGGTTCAGATTTAAAAACAGCACCCTGAGTGGGGCTAGTACCCTCTATGAGGAATAAGCAAACATTCTTGAATATAATGATTGTCCAAGACCCAGCCAGAACCCTATACTTAACTGAATCTACAAAGGCCAGAGATTTCAAAGGCCAGCAAATGGCCAGGTAAGTGTTGACAGCCATCAACGCCAGGGTGAAGAGGATCCCTTCTCCAACACTTAGCTGGACCCCAAATACCACCCAGCACATCAGCACTGGACTATTGGCTAGTAGAGCCCGCATCCCTTGGAATACCACCCCCAGGCCACAGTAGGAGGAGATGCACAGCAGATGGTGACACAGGAGGATGTATCGGGCCTCTTTCTTCAGCTTCGAATTCTGTGACACTATTGTGACGATGATGACAGTAACAGATGTGGCAAACAAGAAGGCAACTGTGTACACAGAGGCCTTCACTGTTGCTTCCAGCCTCAGCCAATCTGATATGTTGCAGTGCTCAGAAGACAAGTTCATGATCTTTCAGGGCAACTAGGCTCCTGCAGGATTAAAGAACAAGGAAGAGTGAATCTTAAAGCTTCTGGTGTGGTTTTCCAGCTCTGTGATCTAGCAGAAATCGCAAGGAATACATTACACCTTTTTCTGTATAGAATACAACAACTTCAGACAGCATCGACATGAATCAAAGAAACTGGAGAAATCTTCTGGGCTCTTCACTTTATTTCAAGAGAGGAGCGCGTACTCAAACCATCCAAAAGGGAAGTTTGAAAGATGTACTCTCAGGAGTCAGCAAATTGCTCAAAATCAGGTCAAGATTTTATTCTTTGTGCATCCTTTTCCAACTTTGATTATGAGAACTTTTTCGACTCAGAGCCACAGTTGATGAACCCAAGTACTTGTTAACACTTAGTGCATACAAGGGTCTGGGGAAGACATTAGGGCAAGAGCTGTAAGGAATGTGGGGAAGCCATTGATGCAGAGTCCGGAATTCATTTGGGTCCATAAGACATGACAGGTATATTAACAAAATGACAGCAGTTACAGGTGACATTTACCCAGGACTTTCTAGGGATCAAAACTATTTTTAGAGCATATTCCTCACCAGCTCTGGAGTATGTTTTAGTTTCCACAAAGTGGTTTTATTATGCACTTTTCACAGATGGGGGAATAGACCTAAAGAGGCTAAGTAACCTGCTTGGGGCCGTATGGTTATTGGATAGAGGGGCCAGGATGTGAATTTCAGAGTACAACTCCAGAACCCACTCTCACAACCACTATAAGAATGTTCATGTCAAATGCAAGGTCAAATAAATGTGTGCTATGAGTTCTTCTTTAGCCAATGTCATTGTAGAAATACTGTTTTTGTTGTTAAGCTGGAAGACTGCACATCCAACAAGGTTCTGGGATCTTAGGATTACTGAGGGACTATGACCACTGAAATGGTAGTAGACAGATTAGATCTTCTCAAGCAGAAACAGTGGTAAGTGGTTGTGTGTTGCAGCCTGGGGATCCTCCAAATCTCAGGATCACTGTCTCTGAAAGTCTACTGTAGAGATGCCAACCTTTGCCTCCCACTATGGCTTTACTCATTCTTCATCACCTGTTGCATCACCTCCCTCATCAGAGTTGATTGGAACTAGGGGTACACTGAGCTGAATCCACCACTGTCTGCCTCTTAAAAATCTGACTGAAGAATTCTCAGAGAATGGAGTTTGAGTGTGATGTTGAGTGATTGGCCTGTCAGTCATGTTGGCACGTAGGTGAGTAGAAGAAAGTGATTGAGAGAGGTAAGAGAGAACCAGAGGGAACCACAGAGTCCCTGCAAGACTCCAAAAGCCCTTGCAAGGCAGAGAGAGAACAGCCTGGGCTCCTGAATTTCTGATTCTGCTGAGATGCTCTGAATTTTCTGTGCTGGGGTTCTAAAAATATAACACACCCCTCTATTATTTAAGTTAGCTTAAATAGGTTTCCCTCTGCTCCTTTAGGTCGGCCACTAGCATTGAAAGGATATAGAGTGGACCCTGAAGAGGCCCAGTATATATCATATGGATTTCCTAAAAAGTGTATCACCGTGGAGACAGCTGCTGCAACTTGCCGAGAATCTGAGATGCCACAACTCCTTATGAAATTCTTTGCCCAAGGCATCTGTTCTCCCCCTGCATATTGTGTTGTCACCCTTTGTGGAGAATTTTTGTTCAGATGGCTTTTTGTGCCATTGCTGTGCAGTCAAACTCCATGCATTTATTCTTCTCTCTCCAACCCCCAGAGAGGAATAGAAATGGGAATGGTCATTGTCATTGTCAAGCTCAATCATCACGCTTTCTTTAAGCTGCAGAATTTTTGGCCAAAATCTTATACTAGAACCCTTCAATAATCAACAGGAAAATGCTTATCCACAGGGCACACTCCTGTAACTGTCCTCAAGGCACCACCATAGACACCAAGGGCCCCAGTGAAGATGGCAGGCAGACCCTGGTAAGTTAGAACTCTGCCATGCCTGGTGGAGTCATAAGAACTGGGCTTTAAGCCTAGGTCTGTGGCCAATTGGGAATGTGATTGTGGATATCAAAGTCACTTTGCTTCTCTGGTCCTTGGTTCCTTACATCATAGTCATGCAGGATTACAAGTTCCACACTTTTTCTATCTACAGAGCCATCCTCACTGACATCCTCAAGAGCCAAATTTTAACTTGGGCCAGGAGATTCCGGGCTTTTTCCTTATTCTTGAGACAAGATTGGCCCTGCCTTGATTCGGAATGTCCCCATCTTATCCTTCATGGCTGAGCTTGAATAGAACTGCCAGCTTTCTAGGACAGGACCTGCCTTGTCCTGCTAGGTCCCCTCTAGGACTTAAAACCCAGTCACTGAGTCCCTGAATTAGAAGGTCACTGCTGGCAGGCTACACAATTGTGACAGCCTGCCTGTCTGCCTAGGCCTCCCAACAATGCTCATTCCCCAGCTCACGTTGCTGGGTTTGACTCAGCTGATGGGCTATGCTCCCCCATTATTCAGTCTTGCTTCCCATCCCCCATTCCACCCAGAACCTCAGTCATGTCTTCAGCTTCCCTGTTGGATTCCTCTTTTCTGCTCAGCAGGTTTTCCCTGCTCCTGCATGTCCCCCTCCCCCATCATTCCTACACACCTCTCTGGCTCTTTCCCAGCACATTCCCAACAGCAATGAGTGGGGCTTGGCCTTGTTGTGTTCTATGACTTGTAATCCTACACAGAGCATCAGAGACTCCCATTGCGCCTCCTTTGAAAAATATTTTTACAAGCTTCTTTTCTCCCAAATTACTGTAGCTACAACTATAATAAACCCCTCTCCTTCCAGATCTAATACACACTTTCAGGTAACTAGTTTCTGTGGCTTTCTAATATGTTTAACAGACTGATCGATGCAGCACATCGTTGCATCATTCTACTCTACCGATCTTCACTGCTCATTAAAACACACGACACATATCCTAAGCAGTGAGCTTACCAGATGGTAAAACACAGGTGCTGACACGCAGAAGCCTCTCACCCAATGGAAGAAACAGAATACTATATAACTAGGTAATAATAACCAGAAACATCATGTAGTTTCACTTAACCTGCCAAATGAGCAAGAAAGTTGGGTGTCTCCAGCAGGGTTGCGGGGTTGTTCAGAATAGAAAGGGTCGTGGAGTCAGTGAGACAAAGCTTCTTGGAAGAGCTGAGACTCAAACCTAGCCTTTCAAGGTTGAAAACTAAAAGAAAGCAGGACCCAGGGTGAGGTGGATAGAGACGAGGAGAGGTCCAGATTGCAGGCAACAGAAAATGGGAAGAGCCAGGCTGGGGCAAAACCTGGGAGCTTCAGGAGAGATGAGAAGATCCAGTTTGGGGGACTGAGGGCTTATTCAGAGGACTAAGGACAAAGTCTGGGACCAGATTTGGAGGACCTTCATTCCATTCCATGGGTAAAAATTCACTTTGCACTCAATAAGGAGCCTTGCATGATTAAAATTAGGAGCAGCCATGTGATAGGTTAAGAGGACACATGAGATGCCCACCCTTGCCTGCACAGTGGGGTCTGATAGGAGCTCTACAGAGCAGGAAGCCTGGCAGAGGACAAATGTACACAGTGAAGACACTACTACCATAGCAAGTGGCTTAGAATTCTTCTTGCCGACATAAAATCGCCGGGAGAGTTGCAAATGTGCAAAATCAATGAGGGCAAGTTCTATCGCCTTTAATTTATTTATGAGAACTCAGAAAGATGAGTTATTTATTCAGGATCATGCCGCCAGACATAATCTCCCATTCTTCAAATACATATTCCTTCTCAGAGGTGTATTTGCCAATCAAGAGCTCATGGCAACAAAAGCCACATAAGAAGTCCCCTTCTATATGTCTTACCTCTACTCATGGTTCATTCCTAGAGTCTTTTTCTTTGGAAATTGTAAAATGGAAATAACTATTTTCCTCCAGTCCTAAAGGTTCCTTTGGCTTCAGCTCTGAAAGAAAACCCTGGAGCTAAGAATCACATTTGTTCCACAACTGCTGTGATGAAATCAGAAGCAGCTGCCACCACTCCCTACAAAAATCCTGCTGGAAGCATGGGGATGGTGGCGGGATGAGCGCCTAACAAAAGCAGGGAAACAATGGGTCTCATCCTTCCAAAGAGACTGACTTATGGCAAACCCTTGAGGGCAACATGCTACCCTTGGTGGGAAACTGAATACATGAACACATATGGCCAACACATGTATAAAAATTAAATGCTGATCCACAGCCTGTAGTAACCTGCCAGGAAACCAAGCCCTCGCCCACAGTAACAGGTGTCTCTTGTGACCGTCCAGGTAGCCAGACAACAACCTCTGTAATAACTGGCCCCAAACAGCCAGGACTTTATTAATGATTGGCAGCTTCCCTAATTTTTGTCCCTGCTTCCAACTTAAGACCAACCAGAGAGAGCCAAATATGTCCCTCCACCCAGTCACAAAGACACCCCACTTCTAGTTAGCTCTCCTCCAGCTTCCCCAGGCTCCCATCAGGGCACACCTGTAGCCTCCCATGTCCACACTAAGCTCTCCCATTCCTCTGCCTGCCTCTGAGGCTTTGTTAAAAAGCAAGTGACTGGGGTTCACTACCTTGATCTCTCAACCTCTGACTAGGTGGCCTTGGTTTTGCTTATCTGGTCGGTCTTTGCTCGTCTTCAGATCGGTATGAAAAGAAGGTGCTGGGGCCCTCCAATAGCATGTGTACTTGGAGCCATTTCCCCAGGGAGCTAATGAATGGGTGGCAGCACATTCTTCTTCTCCAGCTTGCGCCCCCATGCTAGTCCACCGCAGGGTCCAGAGAGACAGATACCTTCCACGGAAGGGCACTGCCTACCTTGTGAGTCCAGGGTCACTGAGCTGGGCAATCTCCCCCACTCTTACCTCTGAGGGCAACCATTCCTGAACAGACACCCCACTTTCGAAGAAAACCAAGAGAGCGTTGGATGGGTGCTAATGTGAGGGAAGGGTCTGGAAGGGAGATAGGAAGAGGGTAAAGACACAAACAGAATATAACGGTAGATATCCATGCTGACTGCTCACTATGAGATGGCTCTGGGGGGAGCTGACTTCTTTAATCAACACACCAAGCCCAATAAGGAGGCACAATCTTTTTTCACATTTTTCCCAAAAGAAAACTGAGATATAGAGGTGAGAAGGAAGTCATTCAGGGTTAATGAGCTGGTGACAGTGATACTGGAGCTTGGACCAGGTAGTCCACCTGCAGCGGCCAGTCTCTAAAACCCTGGGGCCAGGTGCCCCACATCAGGGAAGGGCGATACCTAAAGTTTGTGACAGACTCCCCACAACTTCCTCTCAGGGTGTTGTTGGTTAATGGTGAAGTCTGGCTTCCAACCTAATTCTTCTGATTTCTGAAATGACATTTGGCTATTGTTTGTTGAGTTTTTTCCCAACAAGACCCTACTGGTGCAGGTGAATTGAATTCTTCTTTAAAAAGAAAAGAAAAAAAAAAAAGACTTAGGTATTATGATCTGAATCATGCCCTTTCCAAAATTCACATGTCGAAACCCTAACCCCCAGAACTTCAGAATGGGACTGTATTTGGAGACAGAGTCTTTAAAGAGGTCATT